ACGATTTTGTAGATAAGAACGGAGTAGTTTTTAGGGAAACTGACGAGATGCTAGCGAGGACAGCAGATTGTTACGAAAACTTATTTGAAAAACAAGAGGTAGTCAGACCTCACCCGTATGTAGACTCTCCGACAGTTGTCTGGGATAATCCTGATGATAATATACCATGTATTACTCTAAAAGAACTCCTTAAAGTGGTTAAAAGCAGGAAAAAGAAATTGTCCTGCGATGTGCAAGGAATATCGACTTTTATCTTCCAATTTCTGCCTACTGTCTATTGGATTGGTCTTTTGAGAGTTTTCAATTTGTCATTGTCAACCTTTGTGGGTCTGTCTTATTGGAAAACTGTGAGAATGGAACTACTTGCCAAAAAGAATCGATTTGTCCAGTAGCTGACACTCGCTCGATCTCATTGTTAGAATGTTTTTTTTAAAGGTCTTAGAGCGGTTGTTTTTGGTAAGGTTTCAAAAAATTCTGGAGAATCGCGGCATTTTAGATAATTCTTAGTCGGAATTTAGACCAGGTTTTCGTCTTCATACTAGGGTACTATCTATGCTAGACCAAATTTATTTCTATATGAGTAATAATTCTCCCGTTTGTACTATTTTTATTGATTTTAAGGCAGCTTTTGATCAATTATGGTGGATTGGTTGCTTAGGAAAACTAGATAGTCTTGGTATTCCTAAAGCGTATATAGTGTGGATTAAGTTTTGGCTTGAAGGACGAATAGCCTTTATCGAAATGAATGAAACGCGTTCAAGATATTTTCATACTGAAAGAGGAGCTCCCCAAGGATCATGCTTCTCTCCTACTCTGTTTATAACCAATCATTCAGACTTATGAACGTTTCTTATCAAGAGTTTGCAAAATAATTTTGCGGATGATCTAGCGGGCGTTATAGCTGGTATGATAGGTGCGAAATTCGCTGCACAATGTATTGATCTGGAAAAAAGTTTTTTTTTTTTATTTGCCAACACTGAAGACCATTAAGGTCCTAACAGTACAAAAAAGAAATTTTTAATTAATTGTAGGTTTTAGACAATAAAAAAAAGAAAAATGGAATACCATAATACAGAGTAATCAATATATCGTAGCAGTTAAGCGTTTATCCTCTTTCCGCTCTCATAACCTCGCAACTGTAAGTGTAGAACTATAAAGAATACAGAAGATGTAGATCAATAATGAGTATTATTAATATTTAAAAAAAACAAACAAATAAAACAAACGAAAAAATAGTTTCAGAAGGTTTCAGGGAATTCACATAATAGTCCTACATCGTTTATATCAAAACTTGGGACCAAATCATCAGAGGCGTCAATACTGTCTTGCTGTTCATTAGGCCCCATCCGGTTTTAGATGTAATAAAATATCCCAAATATCTGAAGATCTTTACCCAATGAATATGCTGTGAGCCACAGAAGATATCAAAATTGGGGCTTCCGACAGCCCTGGCTGACCAAATAGCTTCAGTTTTGGTGTAATTTATTGGCTGCAGACTTATGATTGAGTACATTTCCAACAATTCAAAGAATTTTTTTAGTCGTTTTTCCAAATCTATACATTGCTCCGTATATTTTATTCCGATTCTACCTGCTAAAACTGCAGCTAGATAGTCCGCAAAAAAGAAGGAACTACAGTAACTAACAGCCGAGACAGCCTTCGAACCACAAAAAGACTTTCGTAGTGGTCAGCAGCGATTTCTACTAATTTTCCAGGATCACGTATAGTTTCTCCGTTGGATAATAAAAACGCGTTTAAGGTTGATGAGATGGGCTTAAAAAATTTAAGCCAGCTTTCTTAAACGTGTTTAGAGAACAATGGCTTAATAAGAATTAGAGCATTAAAAAAAGTTTCGTTCTAAAGGATTTGTAGCACATGAGTTTGTGTTTGTTAGATGTGCTCAGTGGCTGGAAAATAGTATCGAATGTTCGCTACCTGACTTACACGAGGATGATCTTAAACTACTTGAATTTTGCCCTGAATCTTTTTTATAGTTCAATTGTCAGATATATGTAGTGTGTTTCTTTCTTATAAGTTTTCTTTTTCTTTTTTATATTCTGTATTCTATTTTTAAAATCTACTAAATAATTTACAGAAATTTTCCTGGTACTTTATTGTATTTTGTCTTAACAGGTCCACAAAGGGCAGTAATAAAGCATATATATATAATTTTTCAGTTCGTCAAATTGAAGTGGGCACTGTTTTCCATGCACATCGAATAATTGATTGAGCATATAAAAGAATAAAATTTGTTCTTTTGTCGCTTCTTACTTTCTATGTTCAGTAGTTCTATATGTACAAAGAAGGAAGAAAGATTAAAAAGATGGCTTTCTATGAAGTTGAGAGATGGATTGAGTTGTACTGTAGTGTAGATTGTCCGTGTCAACTGTGTATTTATACTCATGTTTTGTTAAAAGACGATGAAGTCTGTATCATACACTAGTGCCCCCAAGCCACAAAATTGTTTTCCGTATTTCTTCCAAATCTCTTCCAGCCATGTGATAAAGCGCTGGAATTATCTCAAAATGGAGCCAACATAGCCAGCGACCGATTGAGAGAGGGGTTTGCTATTGTTTTCAGTACAGAGGTGAATTGTTGAGGTTTTCACTTCTGATGACTAAGAAGAACCGAACATCGTTGAAAATTTCCAGCAAACCCTTTCAAAAGCCCTGTCACATTCATTTTTGGAACCACGCAAACCCCTACATTTGTTTAGTTTTTCACGCGCTATTTAATGGTGTATTTGAAAGTATCTGCTGCTATGAAAAAAACTTGAGACATTTCGTTTTAAAAAAGTTGAACTTTTAGATTTTAAAATTTCAATTTAAAAGTTAGGAAGAAAGATTTTTTGATAATTATTTTTAGAATGTCGCTGAAACCTTTTTCTACAAGATATAGTTATTGAAAAAGTTTTCAACTTAAAAATAATATCAGGAAAAAATTTTTATTAAAAAGGGAGGTCCCAAAAACCATGGTTTTCTGGAAGTCCTACCTCCCCATTTTTTCAAACCTTCTCAACATCACCAGGTTTCATTATTTGGTATAGTAGTTCTGGAGTTAGGCAGTATTAAACTTCTAACAAACAAAAGTTAGATAAATCTGGCACCACAAGGTGCGAAGTTAATCTCAGTCATTCGACCACACTGCATCTGATGATAGTGCTTGTTTTTGAAAAAGAATGCAAAAACTTGCCAATCGAGTTTTACAAAAACTAGCAGTTCAAGGTTCTTCTCATCTAATACTAATTCATAATAGACGTGCTATACACCCAACCCATGTGCAAACTATGGAAGAAGTGTCAAGTATTTCTTTACTAAATGCTTACAGTATGATGCAATAAGTGCAATGACAGATGATATAAATGATAACAAATGTCCCTCTTCCCACTGTTTAACTCTCTTATCTTTTTAACTGAAGAATAAGCCTTTTTTAAATGTGCACCATCTAATTCTCTATAAAACTATGTTAAACATTTGCTGTATTTTGCAAAATAAAATTTTATGCAGAAAATACTGCGACGCTTCGATCAGGTTCACTTTTAAATGTAAAAAATCATATTTTGGGTATCACACTATACGATGCACAAAAAATTAACGTAGTCCATACGGTCCGAAAAGCGTTGTCTACGGCTTCTATGCTAAAACTACCCAGAACAGCGAGTAATTGCGGTGGGCATTGATTTTTATTTACAAATTTGTCAAGAACTTCGTGAGAAGTTTTAAACTATTATGGATCTTATCTAAATAAAATTCAAACAAAAGAACTGTAAAGATTGATGTCCGAATTTACCGAAATATTTCATCGTTATAGGTAAAAAGAGTTGCACTTGCTTTTGTTGGAATCATCATTTTTAATAAGATTTCAGCGTTTCATATTAAAGTTCATATAACTCGACAAAAATCAAGCGGTTCTAGACCTAATTTGTTTTCACTCACCAGCAAAATAACGTTTCTTTTCTATAAAAATTGACCAGTTCGCTCACCATTACGCTCAATACATAGGATTCTTCTAGGAAAATGTCTGTAACTTTTCGATGCAAGATCATACAGAGTTGTGCGAAGTCTTATTTTGATCAGAAACGTTTGCGCTACAAAGCTGTGTTTTCAGAAAAATTCTAATTGCATAAGTATCCAGGAAAAAAACATTATTTGAAGACCCATTTTTTCGAGGCTCTTAGAAAACTTGCTCAAAATCCCGGAAAAATCACTTTTGTAACCAAAAGCAATACAGATTCTGGAAGTAGACACTTCAGGCTATCTTTTCATGTGCGTATCACAAAATCGATTTTTTGACCGAAAATCACCATTTCTGAGGGGGGGGGGCCCTTAAGCGGACACGAAAACATGTGCTGTTACTGTTTCTGCTGTCTTACAGTAATCAACATTCTAAATGGAAGGCCAGAGGATCGAGCGATAAGGAACCAGATCCTGATCAGCACGGATGAAGCATTCCGACAGTTTTATGCCTTTTCTCCGGACTGATCCTGAAATATAATGTTCTCTCTCCATTCCATATATCTTTTGTATTATTTTTATCTTATGATATCTTACAAATATTATATATCTTCGTGTGATGACTCTTAATGATATTCATATTTTGATGGTTCGAATATGTCCCTATTTCTTCATATGTGTGAGTAAGCGCGTGTTTTTTTGATGCCTCTTGTAATCAGCTATGCGCTGCATTATGTAGCGTATAAAAAATAACATCATTTGAGAGAGAAAAGTCCGTTTAATAAAACGAATAGTAAATAAGAGATTTTATTTAATGCATCATCGCCGTGTTCTTACCCAACAATCATAATGCGTCATGTTGGACATTTACAGAAAGACTCACTCTTGCACAATCATTTCTGTTTCTTTTGACGTTCTTATAAGTGTTTGATATACAACCAAACAGAATAATTAGAAATACAATATGCAATGTTGACAGAACGATGAAAAATCCATGCTTTATGTGTATAATTTAAGACGACTATTACATTCAATACATTTTCAACAATGATCAGTCAAACTTCGCACTCGCCGTTGTTAGGAACAAATACATTAGTAATTCATGGTTTAAAGACAAATGGAAAAGATCTATACGATTTTCGACGAGAAATTGGTCATGGTTATGTTGGCATTGTGAACGTTGATTACGTTTATGCAAAAAATGGTACCCCTCAACTAAATGTGATACAAGCTGAATTCAGATTACCAAAAGTTGTTGAAGATATACTGAAGCAAGGCTACATTAGCATCGGGAATGTAAAGTATGGTGTAAGCACGCTAGAAAAATATAAAAAAGACGAACAAGGAGTTCAACATACTACACCAAGAGTGATTGTGTGCTACAAATGTCAACAACCAGGACATAAAATTCACCAGTGTCCAATGTGGCGAGAAGAACAATACCACTATGATGATGATGCATATTACTATCGTTCATCCCAACGGTCAGATCCCTCGGATCATGGCTTGCCTACACAATCAAATGGTCATGATTTAACTTCACCAGCTCAACAGAAACAAACCACTAAAGATTTAAATGCAACTACAAGCGCTCGAAGATCAACACCAGTACAAAATACATGGGCACAACAACGACCTCTAGTAAGTGCTAGTGCAGTCACCGATAAAACAGATGCTGTAGTTCAAAAATCACTTCCTGCTATCGTTCCAGCCACCACAGCTGCAAAACTCTCGCAAAGTTCTACAGTATCTGAAGTCTGGCAAAAGTCTAACTTACCAGTACATTTATCAAGCACTTCTGCGGAAAAGTCAGAAGTTAAGAAAAGCGTTACTGCTGCTGTTGTCAGCTCGCAGGACCAATTAGCAATAGTCAAACTTGAGACAATGCTAAACGATTTCGAAACTCGACTAATGAACCGAGTAAATATCATAGAAACAAAAATTAAACACCAAGAGATCCAAGTTGAAGAATTGCAAAAGCAGTTGAAAGAACAGGCCAGTTTAGTTTAAATGAAGCAAATGGTTTATCGAACGTTGATAATAGCAAAGTCGAAGTACAAAAACCCTAAAACATCTAGTTTAAATGTTAAATTCGTGAACACTTTTAATCCAGTCAGATAATCATGAATCCGCGGTCGGAATACGTTATTTTTTGCGTATGAGAAACTCAGCAGTTTTTTACCACGTATGCTTTTGCGTAATTCCTTTTGTCCTAATACTATGTTGACGATAAATAAAAATAATCAATAGGCTTCAGTTGTTCACGAAAGTTAGTTACGAATTTTCGTAAGTATTTATTACTTTTCTCTAAAACGAGCATGAGTCAGGACTTAATATTTTCACCACTTGTGGTCATAAAATTAATCTAACGGAACATTTAAAGTTATTTCTTATTTAACTGTGACAAAAACTTAAACTTCGAATAGCCCTTACTCCGTTCTATGCAGGACCACGATTTTTGCTTAATGGTACGTTCAGCTTACAATACTTTCATATTGCTTGCCATTTTTCTAACCAAAAATTCTTATTCTTATTCACAAGAATGGATGGGAATTTTGTAAAACTGTAGTAAGAGTATGATAAGAGTAATACATGAATGATTTGGTAAATCGAATTCTTATCAAATTCTTGAATAACTCTTATGACTATTTTACAAGTCTCTTACAGAATTCCATCCACTTTCATGCTTAATCTTGTTTAGGAATTGCATAAGGATAACATAAGATTCCTAGATTGGTAAAAAATGTTCCACTAGAGCATTTCTGATTATCTTCTTCTGATCTGAAGGAAGAACCATTACAATGTCTTAAAAGTAGAGACAAGGTCGTATGTTGTGAATGGATCATGTAGTATATAGTGACAATGGTATAACTATAGTCGATCTACACTTCACTTCGGACCTCCATCGATACACGTTTTTTCTATTGGTTTATGTATGTCACAATAGTTGAAGTTGTGCAATTATGCACCCTTGCTTCCTAACATCATCCATTAGGTATGCACCGGTGGGTAACACCTTACATAGAAAATAAAGGAAAACCTTGGCCTTAGAAAGCAAACAAAGCTCTTGTTTTGCATCTCTGATTCTTTCTGGGTATCCAGGATGCTAAACTATGTCATTTCAGATGCAAAAATCTAAAAAGTCCAAATAAAAAGGTCGGTATTTTCGGTATATCGATACCGGTGCATACCTGATCATCCATTCATGTGAAAAAGAATTACGGCAGAAAATGAAAAAAAGCAGAATAATGACCGATCTACAATGTCTTTATAGCCATTAGCAACAGCCATGATTAAATTTAAATTTCTTTAATTAAAAATCTGACGTTTTGACTAAAGAAAATATACGACATTATTGTACTACACATGAAACATTATGAACAAGAAGGAGAAAAAGCTTCTTTATATAGTGTGCGTAACTGGTAAACAGACAGTCAGTAATTCTGTTGTCGTCTATTCTACTTTGTTGTTTCTCGATCTGCCTGAATCAATATTCTTGTTGTTGTTGTTGTTATTATTCTTCCGTTCTTAATCAATATTATTGCTTTTCACTATGAGTCATCTGTACTTTCTTTGTTTACATTTCTGGTCGATTTTTCCACCCATCATTCTCGGTTATTTCTAATCGTACAGATTTGAGAAAAAGATCATTCGAAAGTAGAAGCATCGTACATGACACAACTGAAGTTAGTTTTCGGATATTTCCTTTAGCTATCCTATAATTAGTTTCACAAACTGAGTATATTTTGTAGAAAACTGTATCGTGTCTTCTATCAGATAATTAATCGTCACGTAGTATCGTTCGTGGTGAATATATGTTGTCGCCAAACTTAAAATTAGATTTTTGATTTTAAGTTTGGCTAGCCCAATTCTAAATTTGGCTGGCCAAAATTAAAATTTCAATTTTGGCTGAAGATTGTTCAGCCAAATTTAGAATCTGACTGGCATTCTCAAGCCAAAAAAAGAAAACAATCAAACGTTTCTTAATTCTTTTAAGCTTTTTGGGTTTACTTTATAAATTGCTTTTGAATTTTTCCACATTTATAATTTGCTGAAGAAATATGAATATAAAAAAAATAAGACATGCATTTTTTCTAAATTTCAACTTTTATAATTTTTTGATATAATTCTACTGATTTTTTTGAGATAAAAGTAAAAAGCAAGCAAGTAGAATCTTTATTAAGTTGAATTCAAACATCCACGCTGTTTAACATGACGTTTTGTTGAGCATGGCACTCCTACTTTTTTACAGGGACAATGTTTCATCCCACATTTAGTCTTACAATCGCATATTGCGCCGGATACGGCACCACGAACCAATAATTTTGCAGCTTCGATACTAACTTTATCTTAAGAGTTGTAGAAGAATGTATTCCTCATAAAGGATTTCAGTTTCTTCACGTGATTCACTATGGTTTAACAATGATCTAAAGCATCCACTTAAAATACGCGATAAGAAGTATCAGAAAGCAAAGAAAAACGATAAATATAGAAAACAGTATGAAGAGTTTGCTTGGAAATTCGAGAAACTCTGTAATACAGCTAAAAAACAATATTATAAGAAACAATCAACTGAATTGAATACATCATCTAAAAAGTGGTGGACATTTTTAAAGCATGCAGTAAATAAAGAGAGTCCTCTGACTATTCCTCCTCTTTTTGATGTAGCAATGAATAATTTGGTAACTACTCCATTTGAAAAATCTCAGGTCTTAAATAAGTACTTTGCTCACATCTGTACGTCACCTCCGACTACTTGTTCTTTCCCACAACCTACATCTAGTACGATTGTTATGTTGGAATTTATGATTTATGAAACTGAAGTGTTTGAATCGTTGCTAAAAATAAATGTATCAAAGGAGTGTGTGCCGGGTATTAGTGGGAGAATGCTTCGTGATAATATACACTACTTGTTTCATAGCGTGCTAGAATATATTACAGATACTCAACACTTCCACTAGTACTGTATCTGGTAGCTTGTTTGATTGCTTTAAAGTCACTATCAACAGCAACTCACTCTTCTCCTCTACTGTTCAAGAATTTTTTTTTCTTCTATCTTTTTCACTTTCTTTTCTTACCTTTTTTTAAATTTTACTTTTTGACAGCATGTAATGGGAGAAAGCCCGATTTGCTGTACTTTTTTAAATAAAACTTCAACTTCTTAAAAAAAAAAAAATTGAATTTAGTATGCTCTAGCGCGGAGACGTATCTCAGTAGTTGTATTTGCTATTTCTACTGTGCAACGCTTTTTTAACTTCAGTTTTGAGTGGTATGAATAACTGATCTCTTTTTCTCTCGTTTCATGGCGATTACCCTAGTAAATGTACTTGGTACAAGTACTTGATTACTTGATGAGTACTTGGGAAGTACGCGACAAGTTAAGCACTTGGCAAGTACTTGAGCAAGAACTTGACAAGTGTCGATATCGTTACTTGACTTGCTTCAGCCAACTACTTGGAGCAGTCAGTCATCCTTTTCTTTTGGATTGATTATACTCATACAACTATAGTTGTACATAAACAATACAATATCTATCGTTATAAGGCTGCTCTTTGTATGATCAAATTTTAGCGTCACAATAGCAATTGTTGAATTTAAATGATGTTTTATTTGTTTTTGGAGAAAGAACGTGATGAAGCATTGTTTAAACGTCAAACATTAATTTCATCATCCATATCAAAACCTGCTTAAATCAAATGAATATCCTCAATAGCAAATTATTTCATTTGTCATGCACTTTTACTAGGTACATAATACCGATTTTTCTAATACTGAATAAGAAAATAGAATAGTATTTTTTTATTTTTGTAGACAACGAGAAAAGGTTTGATCTTGCTTCTTGGCAATCATTACGTGGACTAGTCATGATAGTATGAATTACACTGCAGGAAGAAAAAATGTCGTTTGAGAACATTATAATTAATTGATAAGTGTTTACAAGATGGGAAAACGATAGATAAACAAGTTGCAGTTACAGAATGTATTAAGGCAGATGTTCTAAGAAGAATCGGTGAATTTGATCGTCAATTGACTATTATTTCCATGGTCCTTAGTATGGTATGTTCTTTACGTGTCAAGTACATTCTCAGATAGCAGATCATGCTTTTATTTTATGGTAGAAATCAGACCCAGAGAAGTCATAGTAAAAATATTAAAATTTCAATGGCGTTTAATAGAAGTAAAAAATGACAAGCGTGAGTGCTATTAGAATTTTTTTGTCATCAACAATACAAGCAGAAGTTCTGCAATTTAGTAAAAAACTATACACTACACTTTGACCGAGCATCAAGAGCAAGCGAGATAGTCTTTAATTCGCAAAGAAGCGACTAGTCGTTGATCTTGAATTTTTTATTGCAGGTGAACATACAATTGACAATGCACAGTTAAACGTGAATGCAGAGTTGCCGTTCACTGTCTGCTTTTATCAGACAATGGCTCTTAATCGACATCACTGAAATGTCACCAACAAACGGCAAAGGATGTTGAGCATGGAGAAATTCTATAAAATAATTTTCTTATTTCCTCATGTTGTTCATAAATCAGTGATGACGATGTTGTTTATTGTTCTTTTTTGGGCAGAGCTTCGTCTTCTCTTTACCTTTTACTTTGGAGCGTCGCGTCCGCTCGGATCTTTGAGCGATTTCTTGTAGTAAGTTCTCAATGGGCTCTGTATCGGCAAAGACCTCATTGAAAACGGCGCACATTTTTTCATCTAAAATGGCAAATGTAATGTGTTTGAAAGAATTTTTGAACGCTGGCGATTTCAAATGTCTTTTGAAAAGCGCCGCCACCATATACGGATCACATTGGAAGACGCCGCATCCCCAGGCGCCCAAGACCAAGGCATCGTGCATATGCGTCTGGAAGACCAAAAGAATCCGGCGAATGCGTTCGTCCATTTCATCGCGCACCATCCAAGCCCAATTCCTATGACGCTTGGATGCGACACCAGCATTCGGAGCTGGACATGTGACGATACCACAGTAGTAGGGACGTAATAAGAGAGTACCGACATCGTTTTTCAGAATTGGCACACGCGGCGAGTAAATCATCGTATGAGTGTACAAACACAATCTGTCATTTCGGTTGCGCTGATAGTATGAGAGGGTGCTGTCTTGACTGATGCACCAATACAACGCACTTGAACGTGCGATGCTTTCTTCCTGAGCATTAGCACCTCTGAGAAATCCTCCCCCTGGATTTTTAGCCGATGCAAAATTCAGCACTCCTACATCAAATCCCTGGGATGACAGCGACCTGGCAGCTTGAAGTGTGGTGCAATGAGTGACATGCAAGACTGTGCTGGAGTTGATATATGGTGCTGCCGTCGCCTTTAAATTAAACGCATCAAACGGATACAAAACGGTGTTTGTCACAGCGAATTTGACATCCTGTGAAACCACAACGCGTGTATTATCAACAGCATCGTACCATCCACTTTTGAGAATATGGAGTGTGTTTTCTGCAATCAGAATACCGTCGTCCCTTCTCCATCGGGAAGCCGTATGTGTGTTTGACAGCTCTTCTTCGTTGTTATAGCCGTCACTGCCGCTGTCAGCTTCTTCTTGATGACTGGGATTCATGGTTGAAATATGATGCTGCTCTACAGAATAAGCTGTTGCTTCTTCTTCGACTGTTGATGATATTCCACACGTCTCAATCTTGTTTGTAATGTTCATCCTATAAGCAAAAATGTTCAAAGCATAACGGCTAAGCATTGACATTTTAAAGAAAAGTGAAATAGAACGAAAATACCTTTGATCAATAGAAGCAACGAGTGTTGAATTATGAATGCGTTTACAAATGTGCTTATGAGTTACTTATAAAAATGATGAAATTTACGGTAAGGTCGCTCGTTTATTATTCGCGAGTAATGTCTTCAACAGTCTACTTACATTTCCATATACTATGTCTCTACGACATATCTTTAATAATAACCTCCTTTCTTGTACTACTCTTTAGCTTTTCTTTTCTTATTACACAGGAAAGAAGTCACAATATTTTGCTACAAATAAATCCTTATTCCACATTTTTTAATGTCGTTGCAAACGAGAACAAAAGTTTCGCAACTTATGATGGTGTGAAAAGATTGAGTAATAACATGAAATAATTTATGCACATTAATTAAATACCCTGATGAATGTACTTGTGCAAGTAAAATGTAAGTACTTAACTGGCCTTAACTTGTCTCTAGAAGACGAATATATTATTTTACAGTTGTTTTAAATTCTAACCATTTAACGTGCTCTTCTGATCATATACTCGATCGAAGTACGCAACTGATAATTTCTACTCTTGAGTTATTAGTATGTCGTTGATTTGCAGTTTTTGAGCCAGTGGATCTTCAGTGAAGCCATCTGTGGAAAACAATTTTTACTGCCCAAATCTTTAGGATAACAGGGACAAAATTTTAAGGAGCAGAAATATCGTTCCTTACGGCAAAAAGTCGATTATACATACAAAACGAAGAGCCATGGGCACGAAGGATTTTTAGACAGTTCTTATGCTCTCATGAGGTCCACTTATGGTCAAAAGATGGCGTCGAAGACTATGAATTAATTGGGATAGTTTTCTTGTTAGACATAAACAAGTTAGTTCAATTTGTTACATGATCATGTAGCGCGTCGCGCAGCGTGAAAAAATTAACGCTGGATTGGTCGCTAAACATTATCTTCAAGAGTGGCATACACACACACACACATTGTAGCCTCGAGATTTTGAGTAATGGCTATTGAAAAGTATCCACCATTTGAGAAAAACAAAACAAAATAGACGTACAATAAAATAGAAATTAAGAAAAATAAATGTCACTATTGTCCTTCTTCGCGATAACAGAACATTTTATGAGATAGAAGAGATTGAATTTTTTCTTAAGTGTTCCACACGCGTTATAAAAGATGAGCAGAAAGGAAAAAGTACGCCATAAACTAAAGAACTAAACTTTGTCCGAGAGATGCGCAAGCAAGATCGAAGAAAATTGTTGTGTATATTCAAATATGGCAAGACGCATCGAGCGCGTCGCTATCAACTCATATGCTATGCCCTTATTCTATACACAATCTCTACTGTGGGTCGCCAAGAAAGAACGAAAATCGGTCTCTTTTCAGCGTGCATCATGAGAAGAAACAGTCACGTTAAAAAAACTTGTATGATAACTGCAGTCGAACTTCGATTGAGAAATATAAAGTAGTTCTAAACTTCGCGGCACCTGAAGGTTTTTTCTTTTGTTGTATTGATGCTAGGAGGAAAAAATGATCGTAATTCTCTTGTCAGATGAAAAAAATTCGTCATACGCTGGACTTAGGTGTTAATTTGACGGATCATGGAAGAAGAAGAAGCCAGTATGCGCGATGTTCTTTCAGTTCTTGCGCAAATATACGATAAAATGACTCGTGTCATTTCTTGTTGTATTTGTCAACTCTTGAAAGTTTCTTTATTTCTTTTCGCATTCTTTTAAACGCAACATGAGATTAATACTCTCGAACCTACAAAGTGCCATTTTTCAACAAGAGCGAACTGTTCTCTTCCATTCATTGCTTCTCAGCAGTCTTGCTGCCATTACTATTATCGTCTTGGTTTTTTTCTTATCGTATGTCAAACGTGTTTTCAAGAGATTTATTCGAATCCAACTGCGTAAGAGATTGCTCGATCCAAATTATCGAAGATCGGATGCAGACACGTTTTTATCGCACTACCGAAGTTCTCTTTGTCACCTGCAGAAGGTTAATAATGAATTATTATCAAAAATCCTTCAGAAGAATCACTCATGTGCGTTCTTTGTGGATCGCAAGATTTCATTTCTGACTTGCTATCAGTCTGCTTCTCCCTCGTCTGTAGAAAGAGGATATACATTGATCGATGAATTTCGAGAAAAAGTTCCGTTGACTACATATGACGACTATTGCGATTATATCGATCGGATAGTTGATAATGGAGAAAAAAATCTGCTCTGTTCCGATAATATCATCTATTTTGCGATGACTTCTGGAACCACAGGAAAGAACAAACTCATTCCTGTAACTGCAGCAATGCTGAGAAACATTATGGTGCTGATACAGCTTGGATCGTCTGTGATTTGGAGATCTCTTCCTTCATTATTTCCCTCCCCTGAACAACGATGGTTTCAGTTGCGGGCTGCAAAGAGAGGCAAAATGTTTTCAAGATCGAAAGACGGCATACTCATTGGTCAGATTTCCCAAGTGTTTTCAGCCATTTCGCTTCCTCCGCACATCCGAATGCTGGCACCTACTTACGATATCGTAGCGCTTGATTTGCTCGAAGGAATCGCTGATTTCGAAACAAGTACATTCGTTCAGCTCGTTTTTGCATTGGCAGTTCCTGATATATTCTCTTATACGGTAGTCTTTGCTCCAGGATTCATTCACACTGTCAAGATCATCGAAAAACATTTTGAAGAAATCAGTCTGTGCATTTCTTCTGCTAATTTCGAGCATAGTTCTCTTGTTCGAGACAACATTCGTGATTCAAAATTTCGAGCAACATTGAATCGAGCGTTGAATGAAGTGACTGTCGAGTATGGAGGATCAACATACCGATTAGAACGAAGTGAACATATTCTAAAAGAATGTCGCAAAAAAGATGTTCCTGGTATTCTTCATCGTCTTTGGCCAACTCTGGTGTTTGTATCCACTGTGACAGGAGGTTCTTTTGCCATCTACGAAGAAGAGATCCGATTTTATTGCGGGGAAAAATTACCTCTAACTAATTATGGCATCTGTGGTGCCAGTGAAGGATTTTTTGGATCTCTCGCAAGTGTTCACACAGCAGAGTATTTTCTATCACCAACAGCGGCCTTCTTCGAATTCATCAGAGAAGAAGACGTGCATCAGGTATGTTATTTTCTAAACATTATGATCGCGTTGCATTGCAGGATGATTCTATCCTATGATTGAGCATTTTTCTCCAGTTATGCTTGTTCTTTTTCTTCAGGCTCAACCAAAAACTCTTCTCATCTCAGAGATCGAACCAGGAAATCGATATGAGTTGGTTTGTACAACCGAGGCAGGATTGGTTCGATATCGAATGGGCGATGTGATCAATTGCACGAGATT